GGAATGTTGCTATTAAAGCAGGGAAGTTCTTATATTTTTAATGATTTATAAAATTAGAGAATAGGATATTCTCAAAACCAGAACTACCTTGCCTAACATTCCCACACTTGTTGAGCAATTGGCTGAGTTGAGCTGATTCTACAGAATGTCCAGCTGGTGAGAAGCAATGTGCTTTCATGAAGCACTGACAGTCAGTGTAAAGGGACTGGAAATTCAGTTTGGCAGGAACAAAACCTCATGCTCAGATTAGGAACTGAAGTGACAGAGAGGAACTGGGATGCAGAAGGCTATTTAATTTCTCTGTGATTCCATCTTTACCATTGTTTAGCACTGGATGTCTTCTTAGGAAATACTTTGAAATCGTCAGTTGCCATTTGCCTGTGTCCAGCATATGGCTTTTGATACTTTACCAGCCAGGAAGATCCAGGTAAGATGCGGGTTAAGGATAGGACAATGTTCTTTAGCTGTTGCATTAATACCTGGTTCTTCTCTAGTCTACCTGTGAGCTAGATAAACATCGAAAAGATAAACCAAGACTGTATCTGACCAGGTGGGCCTTGGTAACAGGATCAGACTTGTAAGGAACGCTGTGCTGAAGTTGTGTGAGTTATGCGCCATCCAGTCATCTCCAACTTATGGGGACCCCATGAATGGAAGCCCTCTAAAATGCCCTCTCCATGACAGCCCCACTCAGCCATTCCAAGCTCCAGGCTTCATGGATTCAATCCATCTCATGTTTGGTCTTCCCTTTCATGGTCTGCAATTGACTTTCCCGAGCATGATTGTCTTCTCCAGTGAGTTGTGCCTTCTGGTGATGACATCTAACTGTACTAGGCTCAGTTTTGTCAGTATGGCTTTTACGGAAAGCTCTGGTTGTATTCGATTGAGGACTCACTTGTTTGTCTTTCTGCTGGTATTTGCAAAGCCCTCTTCCAGCACCATGTTCCAAGCACATCAATTTTCCTCTTACCAGCTTTCTTCTCTGTCCAGCTTTCACACACATACAAGGTGGCTGGGAGTACCATAGTTTTGATTATCTTGACCCTGGTCGCCAGTAAAACCTCCTTACACTTAAATTTTCTAGTTCCTTCATGGTTGCCCTTCCAAGTCTGGGCCTTCATTGAATTTCTTGGCTGCAGTTTCCCTTTTAATTGATGACTAAGCTGAGTTATGTAAAACCATTCACAATTTTGATTTCTTAATTATTAACAGTAAAGTTCTGTAATTCTTCTGTAGCCATGATTTTTGTTTTCTTAATGCTCAGCTGCAGTCCTGCTTTTGTACTTTCCTTCACGTTCAGCAGGAGTCTCTCCAAATCATTGCTGCTTTCTGCCATTAGTACGGAATCATCCACGTATCTTAAATCAGTGATGCTTCTTGCAACAATTTCCACTCCTACCTCTGGTTCTAATCCAGCCTTCCTATATGTTCTGCATACTGATTGAACAGATAGGGAGGTAAAATACACCTTGTCTGACACCTTTGCCTATGAGAAATCATTCTATTTCTCCATAGCCTGGCCTAGCCGTAGCTTCTTGTCCATGATACAGGTTATGCATCAGGAGGCATAACCTGCTGAGGCATGTCCGTTTCTTCCAGGACCAGCTTCCCATGATCTTTGCTGTAGATCATGGGAAGGCTTTGCTGTAGCCTATGAAACGTGGTCTGATCTTTTTCTGAAATTTTTGATGTGCTCCAGTAACCAACACACATTTGCAATATGATCTCTAGTGCCTGTTCCTTTTCAGAATCTAGCTTGGATGTCCAGCATTTCATAGACTCAGAATAGTAGGGTTGGAAGGGGCAAGAAGTGAGGAGGTTCTTCCTGGTATCTAGCCTGAATCAGGTGTGCTGCAATTTAAGCTCATTACTCAGAGATGAGCGAGAAGAGGTCTTAGCCCTTCCTCTTTGCGATGGCCTCTGAGGTACTTGCAGAACGTTATCCTCTCCCCTCACAGAGTTCTCTTCTCGAGGCCAAACATGCCCAATTCTCTCAACCTCTCCTCACAGGACCATACTGGGTAGTATTCTCTGTTGCAACACTGTGAGCATTAACTTGCTTGCAATGGTCTATGACTCTAAAATTCGTGCTTTTAATGTTTCAAAAATGCAACAACCCACAAGTGATCCTCAATGGAATTGGTGCACCAGCGTATATTTAGTGACCTCAGGGGATAAGTTATGAAACTTTCATAGCCCAAACCGGAGCTATAGGAGATTCTAAGGCAATGCAAGGCTCACTGGGGAAGACCACGATGCTAGGGTAAGTCAAAGGCAGAAGCAGACAAGGAAGACCAACTGTGAGGTGGACGGACTCCGTAAAGAAAGCTGTGGTCGTGAGTTCACAAGAGCTGAGCTAGAAGGTCGCGAGAACATTCTGGAAGACATTCAGGATCAGCATATATCAGAGATACTTTGATGGCAAAGTTGTTGGGAAAGAGTCCCCATATTTCCCAGTGGCAACTGAAAGTGCCGTAACATGTTGTTCAGTGGCAACATAATACTGAATGTCCGGTGTGTGGAAAACAGGAGGAATGGAATATTCTGAAACAAAGCATGTCTTTCTATCAGGAAGAAGCCACGTTTTGTTGGAGGTCCCATGCTTTTTCCTTGATTCAAAAAAGGACCTTTATATGCTAAGTTCTAAGGGACTGAATGGGACTTCTGGGTCATGAGACCTGATCTGGCTGCCATCAGTAAATGTGTCACACGTGTCACATAACTTCCGGACATGGGTGAAGATGCATGTATATGGCTGTCCGCGCAGAAACTCGGTCAGCATGGCATGGTAACTCACCATGGGCTGAGTCTCCCACCTGGCTGCCCTTCACATATGAAGGCTGTGGCACGGATTGCCATGTTCCACAAACAGTGAGGGTGGATTGTCGGCATGGCTAAACAAACTCTTCACAACCCTCTTGGGCTGTTTCAGAATTAGGTGCAGTTTGTTAACCATGCCAATAACCTGCCCTTGGGGAGCCAGCCTGGCATGACGAGTCGCAACGCAATCTCTCCATGGCTTGAGGATAAATTAACGCATGATTCCTTGTAGTGGCATAACAGGAGCTCAGAGCAACTTACCCTTTTAAGACCCTTGTAAGGTAAACTAGGCTGAAAGCTGACAACTGACCCAGAGTCACATAATAAGCTTCATGACTGAGCACGGATCTGAACCCACGTTTCTGAGGTCTTGTGTCTATTCCAACACCCCCTACAGTGCTGATCTTCACTGGTGGGTTGTAATCCTGAACTTCTTCAGAGCAGTGCCTCAAGTTGGTGGAAAGAATGAGAAAACCACCATAAAAATAAGTAACATACAATTAAGAAGGGAACCCCTGCAGTGGCACCCGTGGTCTGAAAGGCGGGAGACTATTTTGAAGACCCTAACTGCTTACTCAGCATTTTAATTCAATATTTGATTCTTAGCATGTTTTGATAGCCGATAGGCAGTGATATTTCCCTGATGACAGCTGGCAAGCCACTGTATTTAATATCTGTCAGAAATGGCTAACTGACTTACAATGGATTTTTAATGACCATTTGAATTAACAGTATGTGAGTTTTCACATTTGATGACAGCCCGATTACCTCAAGCGATGCCAATGAATGCAAAGGGCTCAATTTATGAGGCAAGATTTCACATTTAATATGCAGCGTCTGAGTTTCCAATTTTGATTGATGACTTTTGAACTATTGGCAAAATTACCTGTTTGAGTACTTGTTGCAACCCATTTGGAAGTGCTACTGAAATCAGCTGGGCTTACCCTTGAGTAAACAAACACTAAGTGGCATTTTAGCCGCAAACTGAGTGACTTTGGGCCAGTCACAGACCCTCAGCCCAGCCTACCTCACAGGGTTGTTGTTGTGGGGATAAGAGTGAGAGCAGGAGGAGGGGAATGAGGTGAGCTGCCTTGAGTTCTTTAAAAAAAGGGGTGTTGGGGGAGAGAGATAGGGGTCTAATAAAGAAATAAACTGCTCTGAAACCCTGCTGGGCAACTGGAAGCCCAGAAAAGCCATAGAACAGACAAGCAGGATTCTTAACCTCTTTTATTGGTTTGTTATAAAAATAGAAAATCAGAAAGAGTGTTACTGCCTTGCTCTTTTACATTAGGGCTTAAGACATGCCTACACGGACCCAACCGGGTGTTTTGCAACCCTCCGCTGCATCGGTGGAGCTTTGGGAAGAATTGTTCAGCCCACCTGAGGAAAACCTTGAGCCGGCGAGGTGAGATCAACAGGTGGGCGCTGGACCTGTTTGGAGCCAGATCCTTTTCGCCATGCTACGTCAGGCGAAAACGCTGTTCCCCAAAACTCCTTACGAGTAAACAGGAAAGCAAAGGAATCTTTGCTCAGGAAGCGTACGGATCGCCTCGGAAGCCTCGGATCGGGGCCCGTGCCGGTGGGCTCTCCCTTTCGCTGCGTGAGGCGCGGGTGGAGGCGATAGATCCGTTCCGTGTGCTGCGTGGGGAGGACGTTTTCCCGGGATGTCTTTCCTCAGCTGTTCGTGCCTTTAAAAAAAAACGGCAGCGCTTGAGGACAAGCGCGGAACTCGAAGGAAAACTGCGTCCCATTGCGAAACCGGAGCTGCGGCTGGAGGGTGGCCGAGGAGGGCCAGGTCGGGCAGGGATGCGGGTCCCCCTGGCACGGGGTGCGCGTGCGCCCTGTCTCCTGGGCAGAGGGCAGCTGCCGCTTGGACCGGTTCGTCCGTCCGTCCGTCCGTCCGTCCGCCTGCTCGCCTGCCCTTCCTGCCAAGCGTCACCTCCGCCGGTCCCGGGCGGGTCGCCGGTGCCCAGGGCGCGCCCTCCGCCCACGCCTCGCCGGGAAGCGCCGGCCGTTCCCCCCGGGCCGCTCCGCCCAAGCCGAGCGCGCTGCCCTCCCGGCTCCTCTGCGTCGCTCCGGGCGGGATGCGCGGAGCCGGCTGCGGCGCCCGATCCAGGCAGCCGCGATCCGCGCAGCCGCCTCGCCCTCTGCGCCTCGGATGCCGTGCATCGCCTTCTTCCTTAGGACGAGGAGGCCGGGGCAGGAAGTCCGTGAAGGCCGCCCAGGGCGTCTGCCGCCGCTTTGCCCCCCGAGCTGGCCGCCTGCTTCCTGTCCGCGGCTGCAGGAGGGAACGGAAACAGGTGAGAGAAACCATGGCGAGCGACCCACACTTCACAGCCCGACAACACACCCCAGGTAGGCTTCCCGGCTTCTTAGCGCAGCTGGGCTCAGACAAAAGGATAGCAACAGCCCGTGCCCAGCCCTGCGCCGTGGCTTGTCGGGTCGTCTGGCCCCAGTTGGGACGAAGTTGCTTTTTTTTTTTTTAATTTTCGATTTATATCCTGCCTTTTCCTACAAAGGGCTCGAGGCAGCTTACATCATTCTCCTCCATCTTCTCCTCACAACAACAACCCTGTGAGGGAGGTTGGGCTGAGAGTCTGTGACTGGCCCAAAGTCACCTAGCTGGCTCCATGGCCGAGCGGGGACTCGAACCCGGATCGCCCGAGTCCCAGTCCCGTGCTCTTAACCACGACACCACACTGGCGCTGTCCTCTTCTCTTTGCCAGATTTTCTGCTGCAAGAAAGAAAGATGGAAGAAGGCGGTGGAAAAACACGGGGAGGTTAGGACTGGCCGACCGCGTCGCCCGGCACCCCGGCAAGTGGGGCAGGCGGCCGTGCAGCGAAAACCTCCTTGGAAGCGTAATGTGTGAATGCGCCAAAGGAGGAGACCCTGCTTTCTCCCGCATCCGCTTTAACTCCCGCTTCCACACTATCGTGTCAAGGCCTCAGACCCAGCTCAGCGCCCTTGCTTCGTTTCCCGTCCAGGCGGATGAGATCGCAAAACCTGCATGGTATTTTGGGACGTTTTGGTTAGCCTCATAAACCTTTTGCCCTAATAGGAATTAATTTAGCCCGCCCGCCCCCCATAATGCAGAATTCCTCTAAACCCTGTTTCTCTGCAGGGGCTGAAAGAGAAGCAAAGTCACCCTCTGATGAGCTTTAACAAAGGAATAAAACCATGACGACTTTTTCAAAAGGTTCTATAGCAGACTATAGATGACTCGCGGTTAGAGTTCTCGACTGGGACTCGGGAGGTCCAGGACTCCTCGGCCACGCAACTCGCTGGGCGACTGGGGCCAGTCACTGACTCCCAGCCTAGCCTACTTCACAGGGTTGTTGCGGGACAAAATGGAAAAGAGGGGAACCTTGCCTGGGATTCCTTGCGAGGGTATAAATGCAGTAATAATCGGGCCGATTCACGCATGTTCCACTTGGCCTCCCGTTGCTTAATCGCACTGAGCTCTTGGTAGCAGGCAATATCGTTTCCTTCTAATCAGAAGTTCTGTAGCTGGGCGGATAAGATATTTTATTTATTTATTTATATTGCGATTTATATCCTGCCTTTTCCCTACAAAGGGCTCAAGGCAGCTTACATCATTCTCCTCCTCCATCTTATCCCCACAACAACAACCCTGTGAGGTCGGCTGGGCTGAGAGTCTGTGACTGGCCCAAGGTCACCCAGCTGGCCCCATGGCCAAGCGGGGACTCGAACCCGGATCGCCTGAGTCCCAGTCCCGTGCTCTTCACCACGACACCACGCTGGCTCTCACAGATATCTCTGACGACGCGTTTGATCGGAGACTGAACGGTAAAATGCAAGCCAACGCTCGGTTGCAGCTTCTTAACATGGGCGTGTGAACACAGTTAAAGAAAAGGGCCATGGGCACTAGCAGTCCAAAAGCAGGGAAGACCCGCTTTCGTCCTGAGCTGCACTTCGTGGGATGTCGTTGCATATTGTTACCTGCTGTTATTACATGGCAATATATTTTTGTTGTTATACCACTGCTCTTTTACTGCAGTGCGGTCGTTTTCATGTTGCTGTTTCATTGCTGTTGATGGTTATGTTGCAGAGAGACCTGCGGCACCGGTAGCGTGGCATGCAGGATTAATCATCAATAAAATGGCATAAGCACGAGGAACTCGGGTTTGCAGTTTGCGACAGTCGCCACCATGGAGAGGCCGGCCCTCGCTGTGCACAAAAACCTCTTCTGCCCATAACCGACATCAATCTTAGCCTCGAGGCCTCTGCCTTCAAAGCGCTCCTCCAAACGCTCGTCCCTATATCCCCCTTGCCGGAATCGTCCCCAGCCAAAGAAGGTGTAATGCGCATTAATTCCCTGCAGCCTTTGTTATCCGAGTCCTTTCTGTTTGTTTTCTGTACTGAAAAAGTGTATTGCTGCAGTGTTTTTACCCCGTCAGGCAGGGAACCGCCTGACAAAGCTCGTTACGCTGTGAAATGTCGATAAAAATGTCGTGGTTGGTTTTTAAATACCATGTAGATTCCTTGCAGTAGGAATACAGGCATCAACAAGGGGAAACACGCAATGGACTCGTCTAGAAAACCCTTCAGGTTTTATCCACGCATCTCACCTGTGGCCATTACCCTCCGTCCAAAAATGATGCTCCTGGCTTGGCAAGAGAGGAGGGGAAAAACCCATATTTGTAGGAGAGCTGCAATTTGGAACTCAAAGAGGGTTAAGCTTGATCTTAAGATCAAAGAGGGTTAAGATGTCTTAATCACTGAGATTAAGAAACAACCAGGGTGTTGACTGCTTCCATATACAAAGCACATTTCCTTGGAATTAGTGCACAATCAATCTCCGGGAACCAATTTGCTTCTGCATTGTTCTTATTATTCCGACTGCTGCTGCAGCTTCCCACCCGTTTCTCTGTTCCTAAACTGAAAGTAAACATCTCATGAGCAAATGTTCGATTTGAAGGACCATCAGTTTCAGCGCACACTTGCGCTAGGACCTTAGCTTGGCCCCGCACCTAGCCGTTGCCCCACTGGGACTGGAGAGAAGGACCCTCCAGCCTGGAAGAGCAGCAGGTGGACCCACACAAAATGGCCAAAGAGGGGGCGGCGGCAGGGCGCTTGCTCTGCCTTCCAGGGCCCCCGGTGTCCCTGTGTTCGCTTCTCCCAGCCTTCCACTCCCTTCTCTTTTGTCTCAGAGACTTGTCTCAGACTGTAAGATTATTAATCTTCGTAAGCTGAAAAGGGGACACTTTCTTGGCACATGAAAAGGTTAGAAATGCTTCAGTTATTGGGAAATCAACTGTTTGGTAAAACATCTCCTTATAAGCAAATGTCCCACGATGTGATCTAATGAACCAACCAATATGACTTTGAGCATCCCAGAAGCGCTACGCTTGAAGCAAAAGAGAAACTGAATTACAAATCAAACGTCATATGGGCATTTATGCTACCATTACATTATTTCATTTGCATTGATTGTAAGTATCGTAAGTATTGATTCAAAAATAATAATTCAGCGTTATGCAATCAATTCCCCCATGGTTAATATGTGGCATATCATAACGAGGGAAAGAAGGCCCGTTGCAGGTTTTTCACACTGAACATAAAAGGTTTGGTCATGCTTTCTCCTGCTCTCGCCCAGCCCCAATCCTTTCCAGTGGGACTTACACACAGGAGAATTTTCCCTTGAGTTTAAAGGTAGGTTTTCCCCGATCATCTATAAAACGAGATGGATTCTTAAATCTAGAATAAAACATGCTACCTGGTGAGGAGCTGAACCCCCGCAGTTATGGTCAAATAGCTCATTCCCCCGGGCATTTTTCTCACTACTGCTATTGGGCCTGAAGCTGGGAAGGAATCAGGTGGGGAGAGAAGATTGTGAGGAATTATGGACAGCGAGGGAAGAAGCCAGCAAGCGCCCCGTTTGCTCCAGCAGCCCCGCCTGGCCCTCGTACGTGACGGGGGCGCAGCAAGGTTTAAACAAACAGCCCCGTCGCTTGCCAAGTTACAGCAACGTCCTACAATCGCAAGCGCTGGGTTGTTTGAAAGCTCTGCTAGATAAGCAGGCTTCGGCTTCAGCTTCGGAGTGCCTCCCCCGGCCGCGTTTGAAAGGGAACCATCTTTTCAGGACCAAGGAAACGAGGCTTGTCAGAAATACTGAAATGCTCATGGTACCCAATACCTGCGCAAGAGACAAGAAGGAGTTATGCAAGGAAGCCGTCTGCCCAGCAGCAAAATGTGTGCTACCGACACAACGGGAAAATAAAACACCTGCGTTTTACCAGGATCTGAGATAGTGTGGCTGGTCGCATCCCTAAAGTTCACCTCCTCGCCCTTTCCGCTGCGGAAGGGGCTGTCAAGAGCAGAAAGGGCAACCTGTTCCTCGTTATCCTGTTCGACACTAACATAACACGGACGAAGTTCAGTGGTGCTTGCAAGTTACGTTAGGTTCCCAGCCTAACACTGAAGACTCAGAGAGGGGGAAGGAGCCCCGGTTTTCAGCATTTTTAATGTTTTCTAATAGGTTTAAATTTTAGCTGTTTGGAGAAAAATAATAGAAAGCAAGAATGATTGTGGATGCTCCCCACTAGGTCGTGCATCTAGGTGAATTTTAAAAGATCACGTGAATCTGACTATTATTTTGCTGTAAAATATACCAAATTTGAATTTAGTGGATATCCCAAAGACAGTGACTAGGAAGCAATTTTTGGTGGAATCTGTGAGATATAAATAGGCTAAAGTAAATAACACATTACCCCCTGAAACTAAATTAATAATACATTACCCACTAAATTAAATTTAGTAGGAAATGAAAAAGTACAAGTATATACAATACTTGTAAGCACCTACAAGTAGTGATCTTCATTCCAAGAAAATATAAGTAGGAACAGGTTGCTCCATTTAAATCAACAGCAATTTTTTTCATGGTTTCAATAGCAGTGATATGTACAAATTCTGAGTCAGCTTCTTCAGAAAGTCCATTCTGGAAATCGGCAGAATTATTTACAGTCCAATTGTAATAATTTCTACTTGAAAATAATCCCCTCTGTGCAATTTAATAGTCACTAAGCATAAAGAGACAATTATTTACAGAACATATCAGAATTTGGGGGGGGGGGATGCACTTATAAACAAATAAAAGGAAGCTCTTATATGAAATGTAAAATAGAAAAAATAGGTAATTGTATGAGAGCACTTTAAAACCAAGTCAACTGGTTAAAGTATTACCTATAACTATTTCATGCATTCAAAGAAGACTGTTCGCTTTGTTGATCTAGGAGAGTGAGAGGGAAAGACAGGGCCTGGCTAAAACCTAGGCTGGACTAAAACTATTTTATAACGTCAGGTCACACTTCTCTTTCTTGATCCAAAGAATGGGCTTCTTGCCTATCAAGATTTGTGGTGAATGAGTCCCATTAAAATGATAAGCGATGGAAATGACACTGTTTTTTCTCAAATCTGATTACTCTCTGCCACTTCTCCACACGCATGTCCACCAGCCCAAGCTGCCTCCTTCCCATGCGTTTGCCTTTCCACTGGGCAAAAGAAAAAGAAGCCAACAGACATCCGCCCTTCCCTGTAGCAGCCTACGCCACTTATCTGGGCTAGATTCACTCTTCATTTTAAAGAACTACAGGAAGCTTTCCCCAGACTGCTCTTTTTAGTTTGCAATAACCTAACACCCAAAGTGAGAGGAGATCAAAAGGAAGACATATTGTTCAAGTTAAAAGACTTTATATATTTTCCTTCTGTTTTCCTATCCACAGAAAAGATGCACTATAAAAGCGAATTTAAAAACATGGAGGTGTCTCACCCAGTACATTTTACTGTGTTTTTCTTTCTTTGTTTCTGGTCATATCAATTACAACGGCCAAAATTTGGTTGCACTGGTTTTTTTAAGCAAGCCTGTCCCAGAGGCAAACCCTCCAAGTCTGAGGCTACCCTAGTTTGGAACCGGAGAAAGAAACGTGCCTTTCCTTGGAAATAAAGATACAACAGCCAGCGCATCTAAACGGTCAGATGAGTAACAACTGGGGGGGGGGGGCTTTTGTGAATCCACGCATTTCCTGCATGGAGCCACGCTCCTTGGTCTTGCCCAGAGGCGAGCGGGCATGGCCTTCAAGTCCAGACGCCCCAAATTAAGCTGCTTCATCTGCTCTTTTTCCTCCAGGGAATATGGTTGAACTCCGCGGGGCTTAGTTTTCAGAAAGCGCCCAGCCAGGCTCGCTCCACTGCCAACAGAAAGGTTAATTCAGTCAGGGGTAGGGCAGGTGCTTAATTCTGGCGGGATCAAGTCCTAAATTAGCACCGTTTGATGCGCTGTTACTAAATGCCCCAAAGGAAAGGCACGGGCTGGCAGCCCAGCCCTTCCTCAGTGATGGCTCCTGGCTCACTCAGCGCCACCTCCTTTGCTCTGTCACCGAGTACAGCCAATCCTCGCCACTTCCGATCCAGTCCTCCAAACGGGACCTCGCGCAAACTCGAGGGATGCCACGACGGACGCATGGAAAGAAAACCGAAGCTACAGCCACAGAAAGGGTGGAGGAGTCGCTTTGTACAGCGGGGAGATGTGGAAGGGAAGAGAGCAGTGGGCAAGGGGGCTTCTGTCCTCACACAACTGCACACAATGCGCACAACCGGCCTCGCTAACCCCATCCGCAGTCTCCAGAAGCTGCAGAATACTGTCTTCAAAGCGCATCTCCTTTGATTTCCGAGAAACTGGAAGCAGGAGCTCTCCCTTAACCCAGATGAATTCATGCCCCCGCCCCCAGAGAAACAACTCGGTGTGTCGCCTGCACATCTCGTGACATATTCCCAGCTCTTGGTCGATCAGGGCAGCATTATTCCAACGCTTACACACCCGTGCGTCGTTGGGAAAAATCAGTGGGAAAGAAGGTGGCGGGGCAGAGGCAGGGACTGGATTCGTGCCCCCCCCCCCAAAAAAACCCTCTGCACCAGCCCAAGCCACTCATGGGGCCATATTCTGATTAGAGGAGAAGGCGCACTGCCCAGACTGACTTGGAAGCACGTCCTGCGTTTTCCGAAGCGGTCGCGAACCAGGAGAAGGCAGAGCCACTGGAAGCCCCCTGCCGGCTGCTTTCTCCTTTCCCGGCCCTTACCTTCTCGGGAAGGATGCTTGAAGGCGATGGCGGGAGCCAGCTCTCCGCTGTGGACTCCGGGAGTGTGCTGGTGAGCCAAGGAGCTGCCCTGAGTCTGCCAGTGATGGTGAGCCGGGCTCAGGTAGCCCCCGCCCGGCCCGCTGTAGAACCCGGGCTGGTTCGCGGACGGGTATGCGCAAGGGGACAGGAAGCTGCTTACCGCGGAGAGCCCCGGGGGTGGCTGTGAACCGAAGAGAGGAGGGGATTAGACCTCGGGAAAGAGGGGGACAACTAGGAAGAGGGAGAGCGCATGACGCCGGCCCAGATTCTAACCACGTTGACACAGCTCGGAGGGACAGCAAGGCTGCAGTCCTATACGGTTGTGGGAGGAAGGCTTGGTGCGTTTAGTGAGCGGATAGTCCTAGGATTGAGCTACAAATGGAAGGGCTGCCCTTTCAAAACCCGGGGAAGGGCCTGCGGAGTGACGTGAAGCAGAACAGAAGGCAAAGATCTTCCGGCACTGCAGGAGCAAAGGAACCCAAGTGGCTCAGAAAGCGGGCCAGCGAGACCAGCGCTACACACGCACTCACTCGGGCAACTTCTGACAACGTGTTTAGGAAAAAGGTGTTTGTTTTCCAACGTTATGTTTTCCAGGCCTGAAAATATCGATGCACCTGAAGCAAAAACTGAACCAAAGTTTTTTTAAAAAATAAAAATCATGTGATGCAAAGATAAGCATGGTGAAAGTGGTGCCTTCCCGAGAGCCGTCAGCTCCCCGCCCGCGCCCGCTCTGCAGCTCACCCCGCCGGGCCATTCCGTTTTTCTTCCACTCCCCGGGCCTCTGTCCCTCTGACTTTTGCATGCAGGAGCCCCCTATTTTTAACCTGAAGTATTTGTGCCTGTTGAGGACCTCGTTGCGATCTGCAGCAGCCTCGGACACCGCGAGAGGCGTGTTTCCCAGATCTGTTTTCCTTGCAGAGGTCTCGCACAGCTGAGCGCCACCCAGCCCGCCTCCCACCCAGTCCAGACGAGCCCAGCTGCCTTCCTCCACCGCGTCCTTCCCGAGGGGCAGTGCGGCCTTACCTGGGGGTACTTAATGTCCGCTTCCACTGCCGACTTGTCAAGCGCGTCGACACCTTGCCCGGCTGCTGGGAAGGAGGTTCTGTTCACGGCCGGCCAGTCTTCTAGCTTGGGGGGGTACGCAGAGCCGTCTGTCCCAGCCAGAGCTCCTGGGAGGAGAAAGAGTGGAGAACACACTGGTGGCTTGGAGGGCAGAAACTCCCGCCTCCTCCGTTATGACTTGCCCGTTCTTTCGGAGCTCCGCATGGCCTCTCCGGGCATCAGCCAAGGGTCTTCGTGGGCTCCAGGGCAGGCAGAAGAGGATGCCCGGTTGGTGGGCAGCAGCCCCAGCTGTGGCTTCCCCGGGGAGCCAGGAGGCACTGCCAGAACCTTCTCCCTGGCCATTGCTTCGTTCCCCGACGGTTCCTACGCCTGAAAGGGATTTATCATTCAGCCCCGCTGCAGCGCAGCAGCCTCGTAAAAGGAGCGAACAATAAACGCAATCCAGATTTATTTATGAAACACTCATTCCCAGCCTCGTCGCTCCAGACTCTGTTTGGGTGGGAAGCGCTTCAACAAGAAATATTGGTGAGGAGGGGAGTGGGGACCTGAGCTTTCCGAAGACACGGAGGAGGTCATGGATGTTTTATGGCCGAACTGCACTTTGGAGCGGAACTTTTAAGCGCTTTGCATAAAATTCGAGGTTAAAAATGAGGCCGAGATTCTCTCTCTCTCTCTCTCTCTCTCTCTCTCTCTCTCTCTCTCTCTCTCTAGATCGAGAGAGAGAGAGAGAGAGAGAGAGAGAGGCAGGGGTCTTAAATTGCAAACAGCTTTTGGCAGGGTCTCATCTGAAACATTTTCTTCCACCGCCATGCCTGTTTCATTTACATGGGCCAATATTTCTGGCTCTCGAGTCGTTCGGGAGGCCCTTCTCAAGGGGGCGCAATTCAGTTTGGGGGCGATGTCCAACTGCCTGGTCGTGATTTCAAGATTAATGGAGGGGGGTCATTTTAGAGGCACCGGGCATTCCTTGTTTCTTATTCTCGCAGAAGAAGGAAGAACTTCCTGTGCCCCCTTCAAATAAAAGTAAACAGATGCGGGGGTCTCAAGCATTACTGGCTGCGGAGGTTCATGGAATGACAACGGAGCGAGCGGGACACGATCCACAAAGGAGCTCGAAACACGCGCACCCTTAAACCAAGCGGGGGAAAGGTCCTCCTTTTTTATTTTAAAAATGATACGCACATTTGGAAATCTGCTCATTCAAGAAGAAAACCCCTAAGCCTGTGTCTGGCGGGGCTTTGAAGCCACAACGTGGAACCTTCTCTCCTCCCGAACCTCTTCAAAATTAATAGAAACATAAAATGGGAACGAAAAGGCGGAACTCAGTATCCTAGTAACAAAATGTAGTAGATAACCAGAGTCTAAAAATATAAGTTTCCCCGTAATTTTCAGTCGCTTCCTTCTAACAATGAGCTTGCGGGTCGTTTGGATCTCCAGCCGCTTTAAAGCAACAGAATTGTAGACCGTCCGCGAGAAGAGGAAAACGCGGGACCGAGCGGGGAGCCATCTCAGTCCCTCGGCCAGCGAATGCCGGACGATGTGGGGGAGCGAAGAGTCCTTCGTGCAGAGCAATCGCGGCGCGAACTCGCTGGGGCCACTTTTTCTTCCTCCCCCACAGGGAGGGGTGGTAGAAGGGCTCCGAGTTTGCGGTTGGCAATCTATCATCGCTACGAAAATATTTTCCACATTTTTTCATAAGAAGTTCAAGATGTCCAGGCAGCAACAGCCGGCGTTCTGTCTGCTGAATTCTCCCTCTCCGGGCTGTTCCAGCAGCCTCTCCCAGGACGCCTCTGGCTTCTAGCACCAAGGTGCGCCAGTGCTGGGGGTGGGGGCTTGGGTGAAGCAGGAGCAGCTCGTTCCAGCCCCCCTCGGCGAGGAAATCATCCGGAGCCGGCTGGGGAAATCACTCATCTCTGGGGTGGTCAGCTGCAGCTCTTGGGATAGATGGTTTGCTTCGGAGCCCGGTGGGAGAGAAATCTATTTTGCCACACACTGGAGTGCCCTGTAGAAGGGGGGGGAGCACTGCTTCGCCCCCACTTATTCTCGAAGCACACTCAGGTGTTCCTCACACCAAGCCTCTAAGGAGCCCGTGCACTCGGCGTGCAAGCCAAAGCACAAATCCTCCTGCTCCGAACAGAAACAAACAGAAGTGATCCGTTGCTGCCATTGTTAAGAGGGAGAAAAGATGCAGGCAGGACGCGGTAGACTTCTTTGGGAATCCACGCGCAGGTGTGCACGCGCACGCACGCGCACACGCGCACGGTAAGCCACCTACACTATCTGTTTCCTAGCTAGTGATCCCCAGCTCTGTTATATGGACCGTGTGCCTGGGCCTGCGTCTGAGCAAAGAACCTTCGGACCTGCGAACTCCGAAGGAAAATTCATATTAACTCACGGAGATCTTTCGAGTTGGGGCTGCAGTGCCTCCCTTTCCCTTAGAAGTGAAACTGTTCCTCTGTTCCGTGTTGTGATTTGTTCCTGTTTTTCTGGCCTAGTCTGGGTTTGGTGAAGTTTCCAGGAGCCAGTTGAAATTGTTCTGTGGGGCATGCCTGGTTCTTAGCACCACCAACGGCCCATTCTGTGTCCACACTGTTTTCAGGGCCATTCTAAGGATCCGCAAGACAAGACCAGACACACTCTTTGTACCCTAAATAGGATTTCTGGAATGAACGCAGCAAAACTAAAGGTCCCTCTTTTTCATATGTAGCAGGTTTTCGTTGCGCAGTCCTTCTTGATCGCTCTGCCTCTGTTGCTGGCAAGAGAGACTTTAAACGCAAATGGTAAACGAGGAAATAAAGAGAAGTTAAAAAAAAAAAAGACTGGAGAAATGGTTTGTTTGTTTTTCTTTGTTTGGAGGCTGCCTTTCTTTTTCTCTTTCCAACCCCCTCAACAACATTTCCAGGGAACGCTTGCACAATGCTTTCACCTTGTTCCTCACCGAAAATTGGTCTCAAAACGCGAAAGTCAGCTGGAAGCATCTTCCTCCGTTATTCGGCTGGGCCCGTTTATTGCCTCCCCTGAGCCATCCCTGCAAGCTCCGCGGGGCAGGCGCCTGCTTTCTCGCGATGCCGCGCAGCGCAAGCCACCCCAGGGGGGGGCGCCCCGAACCGCCCCTTCCCCGCTGCGCCGGGGCGGAATCACTCACCGCTTTGCTCCATGAAGGTCCGGATCCCCAGGATGTTGCTGACCGAGTGCGCCGAAGGCCAGGAGCGCGGCAGGCTGACGTGGGCCGCGGAGACGGCGGCGGCGGCGGCGGGGTGGCCGCCCATCTTGGTGCCGGCGGCGGGCACGGCGCTGGGGTACGGGTACTGGTAGATGTGGTTGTAGGGCAGGGCGGGCGGCGGCGCCGGCTGCTTGCCGCCGCCCGCCTCGAAGGGGCCCCCCGCGCCGCCGCCGCCGCCGGGCTGCGACAGGTTGCCGATCTTGTTGCGCAGGATGCGGCTGATGGAGCTCACGGAGGGCACGTTGTACTTGTCGCAGACGCCGTCGGCCAGCAGGCGGTCGCGGATCTCCCAGGCGAAGATGCCCGGGTCGCCCTGCTTGTACCCGCGGATGTGCTTCACCACGTTGGGCGTGGTGACGCGCGGCTTGCTCCCGCCGATGGCGCCGGGCAGGATGGAGCCGGTCTCGTGGTAGCGCGCCAGGATCTTGCTCACGCAGCCGTGCGACACGCGCAGCTGCCGGCTGATGTCGCACGGCCGGATGCCCAGCTGCGCCAGCTCCACGATGCGCAGCCGGATGGCGTTGGGCAGCGGCCGGCCGTTGACGAAGACGCCGCCCAGCTGGTTCACCTCGCCGTACGTTTGCTCTGCAAGCAGCCGGGGTGGGGGGACAGGCGGGGGCGACTCAGGACGGCGGCCGCGCCCGGCGGGGCGAGCGGGGTCGCGGCTGCCCCCCCGCGGGCCGCCGGGTGCGCGCCGGGAGAATCCGGGACCGCCTCGCGGCTCCGCGGCGCGTCCCGAGAGGAGTCCCTGCGCCGCTGGCCGGTCTCCACTGAGGACCGGACGCTGGAAGAGCTGGAGCGCGACCGCCCGCCTTCGGCGGGGCGACGGGAGAGATCCCGGGACCCAGCCCGTCAGCGGCCGTGAGCCGCGGTGGCGAAGCGGCGCTCCACGCCCAGGGGTCCTCGGCCCCGCTGCCCGAGCGCCGCGCGCGGAGGCCAGGCGCCCCGTCCCACGCCGGCCCGGTTGGACCTGCCTCGAAGGATTCGCGGCGCCGCCGCAAGCATGCCCTCCCCTCCCCGCGCCGGACCCCATCCCCTCTCGCCCTCCCGTCCGCCCGGCCTCGCTGCGCCGCGGGGCAGAAGCAGCGCCGGGAGAGCGCGCCGCGGCAAGGAAGGGCGCTGCGCCCGGGCCCCTCTGCGGAGCTGGGCGGCGGCAGCGGCCTAGGGCGTGCGCCCAGCGGCGCGCCCCCCGGCCCGGAGGCCCGCCTCCGCAGCTCTCCCCGAAGGCTCGGCTCGGCCCGCCGCCGCTCCGCCGCCCGCTCTCCCGCTCGCCGCCTCCTTACCCATGGCCACCTAGGCGAGGCGCCGCCGCCCGCCTCTCCCCGCGCATGGGGAGAGCCGCTCGCCCTCCGGAAGCGTCCTGGCGAGCCGGGCGGCCCTCCGGCGAGATCGCGCGGCGGCCGGCAGCCCGCAGCCCCGAGCAGCGCTCGCAGCCGACTGGGGCGGGCGGGCGGGGGGGCGCAGCCTCAAGCCGCCGCCGCCGCGCTCCCTGCGCCACTTGACGTGTCTCGCACGTCAGTCCGGAGGCTCGCGCTGGCGGTGCCGGCGGGGCTTCGGCCGCTCATTGGCTCCCGTCGGGGGCGCCCGGCCGGGCGCG